TTAATGTTATTTCTCTTTTTTTTGCTGGTCCCAATTTAGCTGCTTAAACTGCACACTATAAATTACCTTAAAAGCCACTGTTTATTCAATGTCTTCAATTCAACGTTTGTTGCATTAAGCCAAACTGTGCTTCAGATTGGAGCAGCTCCACTAAGTTATCTTTTAGCCAGTGCGCCAGGTTGGGGAAGTTCTCTTGTTTAGGGCGCCATAGACATCGGGAGAGGGTTTTAAAGTACTTTTTGAAATTTCGAAACAATTCCATTCGAATACCTCTCTCCTACCAGAAACTCTGGCCTTCTGCGGTCTTGACTGCAGGGCTTTTCACCTCCCAAGTCTTCGTGAGAGGCGCAGTTTTCAAACTTCCTCCACCTCAAGCTCAGCGGGCAGCAAAGTGAAAGCGTTGGAGTCTGGAGTTGAAGAAAACTTGTAGCTGCTGCCGCCTTCCCTGCAAATGAGGGCCTCAATACCCGTGGCGGCTGTCTTAGTTTGTGCGCAAGCAGGAAAGGTCACTTAGTGCGCAGAGCCTAGATATATATATGGGCCTTATATATAAGCCGTAGAACGGCATTACCCTTTTTCTTTAAAGGGCGTAGGTTGCTGAACTGGGGCTTTCGGATGGAATGAGTTTTACCGTCAGTGGGAAAAAAATTATTCTTGGTCCTTTCACTGTCTCGAAATGCGAAGCTTTTTCGCTTTCACATGACTCACCAGTTCTCCTTTAACTTGTATTTTCTGTTATTGTTCTTTTATCATTTGCACCCGCTGCTATTTCTGTCTACTTTGTTTATTTATTTCTCGTCTGTCAAGACGTGCGCGGCTAGACCGCATTTCGAGGCCTCTTTGCTATTTTAGAACTTTTTCTGTTTCAGTTACTTAGCCTCAGCTCAGTGAACTATCTCCGTCTCAGCGGAGAAGGCTTGCCCCTTCAGGTTAGGAGAACTCCGGCCAATTATTTGTAAGCTCCGCGCGACTCTAGCGGGAGAAATCCCAAAGACTGCAGCTTCGGGCATTTGCAACACTAGCAGAGGCTCTACAGCCACTGGCTCAGTTTGTTCTCTTGAGCAGCAGAAAAATTATCTTTTGAAGGCTTCTAACTGTTGGCCTTCTTGTCCCTAGAGCAGCACTACTTGCGTGACTCAACTGAGAGAAAGAACATCTTCTGCTTTGGCCTTGTTGACAGCCACAGCCAACTCAGGCACTTCATGAAAAATGAACTTTTCAAATTGCCACTCTTGCCGACCCACGCTGAATCCCTTGCTGTTAGCGGTGCATGAGGAAGCAAAGAATTCATCTTATTTGTCTTCAGCTGCGACAAGCATCTCATTGCTGTGGCTGCCTCAGAAAAGATATTTGAAATGTTCGTCAACTGCAGCTTCAAAACGCACTTGAGACTCTCGGATTAAATATCTAAAGAGCCCGCCACGCCGTCGCTCGCATGCAGCCCCACAGCTTCCTGGGGCTTCAGCTATTCTATCATTTTCCATCTGAGGCTTCTGTCCCCCTCGGATAAGCGGAGGAGTCCGCTGGTGGAGCGCTGTGTCGAAGACTTATCAGGGGTGAATTCTACCCAAGAGTATATCTTCTTACTTCTGAAAAGAGGGAATCCACTTTAACAATAATAGCAATCATGATGGTGGAAATGGCAAGGGTCACACCAATAATAGTACTTTCATCATAATTCGCTGCCGTTTTGTGTGTGTGCACTCGCAGTTCTCCTGATTTTGTAATGCTCTTGCTGCTCCACAGAGCACGTTTGCAACAGAATCCCTGCTAAGCATTCGCATCTTTGCCGACTGCCTTTGCCAAATAAATGACACACTCTAAGCCTGTAGAGTTGATAATAAACTCGCTCAAGTTTATTCCACAAACTTCGCTGCATGCACTACCCCTCCAGCCCCACAGCAGCTCCTGCTGTGGCAGCCTGTGCATGCTTACCCCATTTTGGTATTGTGATTCGACAATGAAAGATTAGCTGCAGCCTCTGAAGGTTAAGGGTCCTGTGTGACTGCCCGAGGCACCTGAAAATACTTTGTTTTAAATGTATGTTGGAGTTCGAGAAGGTAACTCAACTGAAAAGCTCAAAGGTAATAAATAGAAAGAAAGTGCAATCAAGAGATATATTCAAGTGCGTTTTTGAGAAGCCGCTCATTTTCTTTATACTTCAAAGGACTGAAGAACAAATTGACTTCGCCCCTACAAATACAATGAGGAGATCTCCCATCTTGGTTCTCTGTTTCGACTTACCCGAAATTTCATTTTCCAGTTGTACCTGAGAATGCGACGGAAAGTGCTGGAGCTCTAGAGACTTTTGCAAATTCGCCTTTCCTTTTCAATTGGCATTTGTGGAGCTTTAATTCTACGTCGAACACAATGCCTGGGCAGGCCAGAAAAGTTTGTTTCTGGGCACATCAGCTTTGCTGGATGCCGAGGCAGAGCTACAACTCCTGGAGTTCCTTTTTGAACAAAAACAAACTTTTCCCGCGAGCTTTTGAACATATCAGGAAAAATCCTTTTGTTACTAGCGGCCTCCAGTGGACCCGGTGCTACTGTGCTTATCTTTTTCTTGGAAAAGTGCCGGGCTCAGAGAAAGCTGCTGAGGGGTCAGCTCTTCATTAAGTTTAAAAAACTAAATTCAAAGAAAGAGAAAGTGACCTAAGTTCCTTTCACTCCACGCACAACTTCTGCGGCACCGGTAACATTCAGCAGACGGGCAAATGTAATTTGTTTTTAGCGTTCAAGTTTCAAGACAGTTGGAGTGACTTGGGACAAAACAATTCTTTTCTCACTGGGGGGTTCGTAATTTACAAGCTATTTCCTATTTTGTCTAAAGAAAAGCCAAAGTGCATTTAAAAGGGGGGAGGGGAAACAATAAACTGAACAGAGTTGTGGCAATTGTTGCTTCCTTTTGTAATGCAGCGGGAAGTTACTTCAGAGAGGAGGAAGCAGCAATAGTGTGCAGTTCTTACTCCGCCCCTTAAGTATTCAAAAGCAGCAAAATCCATTAACTCTGCCTGCAGACAAAAAGCTGCAGCATCTCTCTGCATGCACCCGCTGACTGCATGCAAGTGCTGCTTCTGGCCAGGGCCTCTCAGCACTACGGGGGCCTCTGGGGGCCCCCAGAAGAGGCTCTTTAAAACTTCATCTGATAAAGAAGACTGGCAGCAGACAAAAGAGAATACTTCACAACTAGGCGAGTCACATGCATGCAGAGGAGCCCTTCTGCGGATAGCCAGCAGCTCGAAAAATCGTGCAAACTTATTTCCGAAGTGTTTGTTTGTGTTTTTAATGAGCCTAGAACAGCAGCAACAGCCACAAAGAAGGGCCCCTGAAGGTTTTGCTGCTTCGGTAAAGGCCCAGTTGCTGCAGCTGCAGCTCAGAGCAGCAAGACAATGCAAGTGGCGCTGAGACAGTTGCTGCTGCTTCCGAGCCCCGCATGCACTTCTGGCTGCAGGTGGCGCCAGGCGTAACCCGTAGCTGTCTCAGCCCTGCTGCTGCCGCTGCAGCCAGTGTTGCTGTTGCAGTTGCTGCTGCTGCTGCTGCAGCTGCTGCAGCAGGCACCCTTCAAGGCCCCTGCCGAAGCTTTCTCTGGGGAGCTCTACTTGCTGCTGCTGCTTCCTAAGCAGCTGTGCCTGTGGGGCGCCCCAGTAGGGCCTTGCTGCTCTAGGGAGCCCCACGGGCTTCAGGGGGGGTCCCGGACTCTAGGGGGCCCCCGGGGCCCCTGGCCTCGAAAGCTTAACCAACAACACACCTAAGCTGTTAACTAGCAGCTGCAGCGCCGCAGTGCAGCAGGGGGGTGCAGCCTTGTGTCTCAGGCAGCAGCAGATGAGTTTTTCTTTGGTTTTACCTCTCGATAGAAGTTAAGAAATAGTCTTTTAATGGCAAAGAGGACAAAGACTAGGGCAAGTGCTGCTGCAGACACTGCTGGCAGCAAGGGGTTTGCTGCATTGGGGGCCTCGTGTGCGCAATTTAGGCTTCCTAGGGCTTACGGCTCCAGGTCTAGGGTTTAGGGTTTAGGGTTTAGGGTTAAACAGGGTCCTCAGCGGCTGGGGCGGACGGGGGGCGGTGGCTTGCCTCGGCTGGGCTGTCTGCTGCTGCTGCTGCTGCTGCTAGTGCTGGTATTGCTGCTGCTGCGCACATGTCTTTGTGATGCAGTCAACAAAAAAAGAAGTGTAAATGAAACACAAATTAGGGAGGTGGGATCGGGGCCCGGAGGTTTAGGGTTTAGGGTTTAGGGTTTAGGGCTGAGGGCTGCTGCAGTGTGTGTCTGAGCGACCCCACCGTCACTGGGGGGTGCACCGTAGAGACTGGTGCTGCTGCTATTGCTGCGCTGCAGCAGCTAATTGTAGTATGTGTTTGTTGCATTATCTTCGTATTAATGGAGAGGCTGTTGCTGCTGCAGGGGCCCCCGCACCTCTGGCAGCAGCAGCAGCAGCAGCAGCAGCAGCAGGGCCCCCCCCTGTGGCCTTCCCGCTGCATTTGAGTGCGCCTGATATTTGCCTATGTGCCTCTTCTCCAACATTTGTAAACTTTTATTTTTCTTTTCTCCTTTCTGTCTTGGGGTGTCTCTCTGCTCCGAGTCCGTTGACTGCGCCCTGCTGCTGCTGCTGTGCCAGCGGCAACTCCAGCTGCCACCTCTGCGCAGCAGCAGCAGCAGCAGCAGCAGTAGCAACCGCAGCAGCAACAGCCTCCGCTCTAGGGCTTGCTGCCTTGTGTCGCTGCTCCGCGCCTGTGCGTGGCTCGTGCTGCAGCAGGGGCCCTCGGGGGGTGGAACAGCGATCTGCTTCAGCCGCTGCCACTGCCGCAGGAGCAGCAGCAGCAGCAGCAGCAGCAAGCGGATCAGCAGCAGCAGCTGCAACGGAGCTCATTTCTGCTTGCGCTCAACGGAACTAGGCAGCTGCCCGCAACAGCTTTGACAGCATCAACGCCCGCACCAGCTGCAGGAGCAGCAGCAGCAGCAGCAGCACTAGCGTAGTTGCCTGCGCATTGCCGCAGCAGCAGAAATGGAGTCGCAGCAGCCGCAGCCGCAGCAGTCGCTGCACCAGCTGCCGCTGGGCCTGCCAGCTGCAGTATTATGCCCGCCTCTAATTTGTCCAGAGCTGAGCAGCAGCAGCAGCAGCAGCAGCGACAGCAACGGCGTGCTGACCGCGCCGGCTGCTGCTGCAGGTGTGGTGGTGGCAGGAGCCCCAGCAGCAGCAGCAGCTGCAGGTCCCGCAGCAGCAGTAGCTGCTTCTCTGGCCGCAGGCGCCGAGCCGGGCGCTGCAGCAGCGGCGCTCCCAGCAACAGCAGCAGCAGCAGCAGGCGGAGAAGCAGCAGCAGCAGCAGCAGCAGGATTCAAAGGCGCAGGGCTGCCGCCTTTGGGGGAGACAGAGCTGGAGACGGACACGGGCCCGTGCAGCAGCAAACCGTCGGAGGGGGGGTTTGGCTCGGAGCCGTTTGCTGCTGCTGCTGCAGCAGCAGCAGCTGCTGCTGCTGCTGCGCCGCCGCCGGTGCTCGGCGGCTCCTCCTGCTGCCTTGCTGCAGCAGGAGGAGACAACGCAGAGAGAGACAACGGGGGGCTGCTGCCAGAATCCTTTTTCGATCCTGCTGCTGCTAATAGTCCTTCTGCTGCTTCGGATGTGCAGCAGGGGGGCCCCCAGCTGGCAGGTTTTATATCTCATGGGTACAGCGAGACCCCAGCAGCAAACTCTCCCGTGGCAGCAGGGGGCCCGTTTGCTGCTGCTGCTGCTGAGGGTCTCTTCGGCCTGCGCGAGGGGCAGATCTTCGCGTTGCAGCAGCAGCAGCACCTGCAGCAGCAGCTCGCCGCGGCCAGCCCGCAGCAGCAGCAGCAGCCCTTCCTCCCCGCTGCCGTTGCTGCAGCAGCAGCAGCAGCAGGAAGGAGAACAGCAGTCAAGCGGGGCCCCTCGCAGGGGCCCTCTTGCTTGGCTGCTCGAATGATGGCAGCAGAAAGCATAAGACAGACGCGGGCGCTGAACGCTGCTGCTGCTGCTGCTGCTGCTGC